GGAAGGAAGGAAGGAAGGAAGGAGGGAAGGGAATGGAGGGAGGGAGAAGAAAGAAAGAAAAGAAAGCAAAGAAAGAAGAAAATAAAAAGAAAGAAAGAAAGAAAGAAAGAAAGGAAGGAAGGGAGGGAGGGAAAGGAGAGGGGGAAAAGAAGGAGAAAGAAAGAAAAAAGAAAGAAAGAAAGAAGGAAGGAAGGAGGGAAGGGAATGGAGGGAGGGAGAAGAAAGAAAGAAAAGAAAGCAAAGAAAGAAGAAAATAAAAAAAAAGAAAGAAAGAAAGAAAAAGAAAGAAAGAAAGAAAAAGAAAGAAAGAAAAAAGGGAGGGAAGAAAAAGGAAGTAGGGAAGGAGAAGAAGGAAGGAAGGAAGGAAGGGAGAGGGGAGAAGAAGGAGAAAGAAAGAAAGAAAGAAAGAAAGGAGGGAGGGGAGGGAGGGAAGGAGAAGAAAGAAAAGAAAGAAGAGGGAAGGAGGGAGAAAGAAGGAAGGAAGGGAAAGGAGAGAGGGAGAAGAAAGAAAAAGAAAAGAAAAAGGGAAGGGAAAGGACAGGGGGAGAAGAAGGAGAAAGAAAGAGAAAGAAAGGAAGGAAGGAAGGAGGGAAGGGAATGGAGGGAGGGAGAAGAAAGGAAAGAAAGAAGAGGGAAGAAGGGAGAAAGAAAGAAGAGGGAAAGAAGAAGGAAGGAAGGAGGGAGGGGAAAGGAAGGAGGGATAAGAAGAAAGAAAGGAAGGAAGGAAGGAAAGGAAAGGAGAGGAGAGGAAAGAGGAAGGGAAAGAGGAGGGGAGGGGAGAAAGTGTCATGTCCAAAGAGATGGAATGAACATGTGTGATAACATATATATGGTGAGGTTCTGCATTAACAATGCCTGCAGTGAGCAGGGTAAATCCTTGCAATCCATTTATTGATTTGATTTTTATCCTGCTTTGGTAACTCAAGGCGGTGAACATGCTTAATATGAGGGAGAGGGAGAAAGGGAGGGGGGAGGGAGAGGCTGGCCCAAAGTCACCTAGCTCTTTTTGCATACCTAAGGCAGGACTAGAACTCACCGTCTCCTAGTCCTTGGCCCCAAACTCACCCAGTTGGCTCTCCTGCTTAAAAACTGGACTGGCACCCACCGTCTCCTGGTTCCAGGCCAACACCTCAACCACTAGACCCAAATGGCCCTAGCTCACATTTTCCACATTTGGGGGGCCGGTGCTGTACACCTTTTCTTGGGCTTTTAACCCCTCTGTCCCCTCCCCTCATGCTTGGGCCAGTCCCTGAAAGCCCTAACCAGACATTCGGTCAAATCCTGCGATGCACTAAAGGTTTCAATCCTATTTTTCCACCTCAAGTAGCAAAAAAAAAAACCCCATGCATTTTGCTGGCAGGTTTCGGTCCTTTGGCGCTTCTGCTAGAGGTTCGGTCCAAATACTGTTACCTTTTCAAGGAGCAGCTGTGGTTTCCCAGCCTACCCCCCACCCACCCCTTCTTACAGCCGGAGAATTATTTTGCTCCAGACGTGGTCAACTAATCAAATCTAACCTAATTTGATTTGCAAAGTGCTTCCTCTCCCTTCCATTTGAGGCTAAAAAACAAA